AGCAGCTATACTACAATTTAAGTTACCTTACTCCCAACGAGAAATATTCAATTATCTGAGATATCCTGGGCCATTTAAACGGTTTGGCAACCATCTCGGGCTGAAAATCAAACCTGGCATGCCAGCCATGATGTATAAGAAGCCCTAGCTGTACTAAGTATTGTAAAAGGTCTCTTTCTTCGTTCAAATCCATTGTGGTATCGTTGGAAAGCACGAAGATACCGGAAAATGTAGGGAACAGAAAGGATCGGTATACCAGAGGTTTGGACGCGCCATGTGGAGAGAATTCAAGAATTTCGGCGAAGATCTATGTCCCTATTAAGAAGAGATCCTAATGACAAGTTATTTATGCACTTATAATATAAATTAATTATTGTTTTACAATATGTAAAGTTAATTAATATGATTTTATTTAAGTACATTATGATATATTAGTTAAGTTAATAAATAATTTATGCAGTAACTGGACAATTATTAATACCGCGTCGGTCAAAGCCTCACGCTCACGCGCTTCATTGCAATTCCCTATTAAGCTCTGCCATCAGGTTAAGCAATTTTAAATTGCCTGTCCAGATGGCACACTTTTATCATGTCACTACTCAGAAACCTACAGCAGTTATACAAACGTGCACAGGTAATCATATTAATAAATACCAGCTGATGACCACTTATAGGCCACTTTACTGGACCGGATGACCTAAATTTGATTATCTGTAAAAATACTCTGATAGAAGTTTTTGAAGTAACTTCTGAGGGCTTGAAGCTAATAAGGGATGTTCCCATTAATGCAAGAGTCGTTGCTGCTCATATGTTTAGGAGAAAGGTTTGTTCTTCGATGACGGCATAATTTAAGGATAAATTAATCGATTCCCTTTTCCTTTTGACGCACAAAGCTGGTGTCGCCATAATTGAATGTGTAAAACACAATAATATGATAGATTTTATTACAGTTGCTGCCGGAAGTATTGAGGTATTGTATTTATAATGACTTGCATCTTAGGATCGCGGATCAAGGATTATTGACAGTGGTTTTGGCGTATTAGTCGATCCCGACGCCAATTTTATCGTTATTAGATTCTATCATGGTCTCTTAAAAGTGATTTCTTTGCATTGCATTCGAGATAGAATCGGTACTTCAGAGGTTTTGGATGCCAACCAATGGACTGTAAACACATACAGTGTGCGAATGCATGAGGGAAACATAGTCGATATGGCTTTTTTATATGACTACGCTCAGCCTACGTTTGCAATGATTTATGAAGATGAACTTGTCCTCCATATGCGTACCTACGAAATATGCGGGCGTGAACCAGCACTCAAAAATGTTCAACCTACGCTTGACTCTATCGAACCTGATTCGAAACTTTTAATTCCTGTCCCAAGGCCTTATGGAGGAGTGATTATTGTTGGCGATAATATAATATGCTATCATACCAAAGATGGACCTCATATTTCCCAATATATTCCTCAAGCAAAGGTAGTATATTCATACTGTTTTTATTTAAAATGCTACGCTTGGTTTCATTCATCCCGAGCTTTAACTCATTATTTTTTACAAGCTTGATCTTTAGATTTTAATCGACTTCATATTCTAGATTATAGCTCAGATTCTCGAAGCCTTTTCTTATTATACTGTCATGATTTCTATTCCCTGCTGAATTTAGGCTAGCCAAGTTTTGTGCTATACTCGAGTCGATGCGCAGCGCTACCTCCTAGGTGACATGGCTGGACGGCTTTATATGTTACATCTACTTTCAGAGGATGCAGCAACTAATCCCAATATTATGGCCCAATCTACTATTTCTACTGCTTCATCTACTTCTTCTTCCACAATAGCTGCTGGAGGGTCACCGCACCGCATTGGCTCGATTAGGATAGAATTGCTCGGTTTGCATCTTATCTTTATGCTCAAATCCCCGCGTAGTCACCATTAAATATATTTTCATCCTATTGTATTTTTTAAATTTATGCTATATCATTAGTCGATGGCTCTATCATTAACACA